GATGGGGCTCGCACCCCCTCCTCTTCCCGGCCCGGAGACCACCACCTACCTCGGCATCCCCCCCCCACGCGCTCCAAGCCCCTTCCTCCGCCTCCTCTCCGCCCCGGAAAGTTAGCGAGGCTCGGGCAGCGGCCGCAGTTCTCCCGGGTGGCCTGACGACTGCGGCGGCCGCCCCTGCGCGTCCCTCCCGCCTCCCTCCGGCTCAGCCCAGACGCCGCAGTGGCGGCAACTGCGGCAGCGGCGGCGGCTCCTCTGACTCCGCGCACTCCGCCCCCTCTTTCCAGCCAGCTCGCTCCGGCCAGTTCCCCTCCGAGAGGGCCTATTCCCCCTCTGCCTCTCTTTCCCGCTTCCACCACTCCTACACTCCCGAAACACTTCTCGCTCTGTTGCTCCTTTTCATCACATCCGGATCGGGGAGGCCTCGAACTCTTGGCGGGCGGCCCCGAGGCTGGCGGCGGCGCGACCCGAGCTGGGCCACGCGATCCCTCGCGCCCTGCGCAGTCTGGGTCAGGAGGCCAGAGCCGCACTGGGCTGGCGCGGTTTCCACACCCGGGAGCTGCGCGCTCCCCGGGCTGGGAAAGGGGAGTGAATGGGCCGGTCCCTGGCTGACCCAGGCGTTCCCCTACCCCGCCCCAAATGTCATCTCATTACCTCTCCCAGCTCTGAGTTCCAGTGCTGCCCCACATGGAAGTAGAAACCTCTAGGGTGAACAAGGAAAAACGGGAAAAAAGACTACACTATCTAACTTTCTTGGTAGGATAGAGAAAGCGAGCATTTGAAACTTTGCCCCCAGCTGATCATTTAATCTTTGAATCTCTGGCTCTGGAATTTTTTTGGTCAAACAGGATCCCGGATCAGGTAAAACCAGTTGCAGTTGCCTGAACCCGCTGGAGGCATCCAGGCAGGCAGGGTGGACACCCTTGAGGATGTCTGGCTCAGGTCTCCAGTCGGGCCTAAGCAGGCTGAATGCTTCACAGGACCGGTGGTACTCATGGAGAGATAAACTTGTGGCCGGAAGTAAAAAAAATTGATCGACTCTGTCCGATTATAAATGAGACGTTCTGATTGTAGCTTAATCTGATATGCCAAGAATAACAAGTGTAAGGTAATTTACCGATATAAAGTATTTTAATAACACATTCAAATAACTTTTGCTCTTTCATTGTGAGTGAAACGCAGAATTCATTTGTAGAAAGCTGAAAGGAACTTATTCTTCAACTCACTAGGACAAGAGAATAATTGCAGTAATGTTATCAAAATTGAAGAAAATGCACAATGGATTCATGGTCTTTCTAGATGTATCCTTGATAATATCCCTGGAATTTCATTTTTTTCAAAAATCCCATTGGAATTGATTCCAATTGATTGAAAAGATCTATTTCTTACCTGTGAAGGCTCACTGAATTCAAACTTGATTTCAATTATCCTGAAAAAAGACAGCCTTGCAAGTTTTTGATGATAGTCATTCAGACCATACTTTCCCAAAGACAAAAGACACTTTGCCCAATGACCCATAACTAACAGATGCATTTTTTTTTAAATTTGGAGATTTCAGAAATGATATGTATAAAAGTGCCATCTCTTTTGAAAACTTGTCTATGGGCCTGGACTGTTTAGAATCTGCTTGATAAAAGCAGATCAATCTGAAAATGACCATGTTTTCATTAGAGAACAAACATTAGAGAAACCTCACTGTCTACACAAAATAATCTGAACTCAGGGAAGCTATTTGGAAAGCAACTGCACTGGAAAATTCTTTTTTATTCCTTTATTACCCCCCCCCCCCCCTTGGTTAACTCTCTCACAACGTTAAGGTCCAGGAATACCAAGAAGTTATGGCATTCTTAGAAAGTCATAGTGGGTGATAAATGTAAGTTAATTTCACAGTTTTTAATGTTGCACATGTGGTGGATGATTCAGCAACTATTCCTTGAATTAAATTTACATATCTTACTCTTGAATGAGGAAGAAATAAAATTCACATAAAAATATTAGGTACAAATGAGAGGCTGTGTTGTAGAATTCCCAAGATGGGCCAATGCAGTACATTGTTCAGCCAGGCGATTTAGGGCAAGTTAGTCAACCTCTCTATAATTTGGTCGCCTCATAAACTAAGAATGGTAAGAAACACTCCTCATAGAGTTTCTTTATAAGGATGAAATAAGGGAATACTCCAATAGCATTTGGAAGAATGTTGGCTATGGAAAAAGGTGCTCAAAGGTATTACCTGTGATTGCTATTACACGGCAGAAGAATTTTGAAAAATAAAACTGAGCAAGTCATAGTGACCATATCAGAAGGGCCACATCAGAACACCAGCTAATCATGTCAGATTCTTTACACAGATTATCTCAATGAAATCGTATACCAGCTTTGTGAGTAAATTGCCAGAATTGTACCTCTAGAATTAAAGCTCAGATCTGTCTGACTTCAAGGCTATCCTGCTTCTTTAGATAATGCAGGTCTTCTCTCTGAGGGAACCAAGAAGTGGTCTTACACCATAAGCCTAGGGCCTGATATACCAGGAGTTAAGTATGGGCTCCTGAGTGTTCCCCAAGCTTCCCATTCCCCCGATCCCTGGCTGCATTTGCTCATTCCAAGTAATTGCCCAGTTTGGTTTCTGATGAGCACTCCAATGCCCTCATCCTTGCATTCTTGCACTCTGTATCGTAAGCTGAATGTTTGTGTTCCCCAAATTCATGCTCAAATTCCCAGTGTAAAGGTATTACACTGGTGTGACCTTTGGGAGATAACTAAGTCATGAGTGGAGACCTCACAAATGGGATTAGTGCCCTTATGAAAAGACAAGAGAGAACTAGCTTCTTCTCTCTCTGCTCTCTGTCATGTGAGGATCTAATCATCTCCCGAAGGCCTCGCCATCTCATACCATCCCCTTGGTAATGAAGACTCAACAGAGTGACGCAGTTTTTTTTCCCATTAGCTGGCGAGCTGGGACCCCAAGGGATATTGCAGTTCCTGAAGCTGCACTGCCAGCCTGGGATCCACACAGTGGCTGGGGACACAATAGTGACCAGATGGGGTAACGTGGTAGTGCCTGAGAACATGGGGATGCCAACAGCTGCAGAGCCCCCAAAGAGTGTTACAGCTCTCTTAGTTTGGGGGTCGGTGAACTGAGCTCTGAGAACTGTTCACAGCTCTGCTAGTTCAGTGGGCCAATGAGTCAGACCTCAAGGGGTGCTACAGCTCTGTGGGTTCAGTGGACTGCTGAACCAGCCACCAGAGAAATGTTCACAGCTCTGTCAGTTTGGTGGGCTAGCAAGCCAGGGCCCCAAGGAGTGCTGAAGCTCTTTCATCTCAGCGGGTCCAGCTTTTCCAGTCCAGCATGTGCAAGCTCTTCTAGTTTAGAAGCTCTTCTAGTTCAACCATTCTGGATTCTTGACTCACACCCAGGAAGAATGAGGGATGGGGACACCAGAGAGTAAGTATATAGGAATTTATTAGAAGACAGAAAAGCTCCCAGCAGTGGAGGGGACCCAAAAGAGGGTTGCCAACAATCCCTCTGCAGTCAGGGGTTTATATAGTCTTGAGGGTGTGTTCATTGGTTCGTGGTAGCACTGATCAGAGAGAAAGCACCATGGTGTGGAATTGAAATGCATCAATCGGGAGAGGGTTGAAAAGGGCCAATCAAGAAGAAGCACGTGAAATGGGCAGTCTCAGGACCTGGTGTTCTCACTCCAGGTGGTGGGGCTTACAGGAGTTTTTACTGGGATCCTCCCAAATCTGTCTGCCTATTTGGTTTCTTCCTTTCTCCTCTCTCAAAATAATCTTTAGAGGAATACAAATATTGAGATCATAGCAAGGGGAGTATATCTAAATTACTAATTATAAAAGCCACTCTGGTGCACTGTGCAAAATAGATTGAAGGCACGGGGATTGGATTTAGGGAGTCCAATTAGGAGACAAGGGTTGATGATGGCAGTGGAAACGGATCCAGGGGTCAAGGATGAGAGAGCCAGAGGAATCGAGGGCAACTCCCAGGTTTCTGCATCTAGATGCATGGTGGTAGTACCATCTACAGAGATGGAAACATTCAGAAGAAACAGACTTTTGGGGAAGCTGCTGATTTAATCATGTAAATCAGCAGCTGTGAGATGGCCATTTGGACCTGTCCAGTAGGCTGCTGGACATGTGTCTGGAATACAGGAACAGAGATGGTGCTTTACTAGTTAGGAGGCTATTTATAGGAGGTTATGAGTGCCCAAGGTGAGTTTATGGAGTAAAAGTAGAGCCAAAGACACAGCTATGCCCTGAAACACAATCCACATGTGACCTTACTGGCCCCATTCCCTTTCTCCAAATCCTTCTCTGTGTTCTGATATTGTTATTTGCCAGTGCTCCACCTGCTATCTCAGATCTCAGATGTCTTCAGATGATCAGGTTTTTGTTTGTTTGTTTTTTGAGTTAGAGTCTCACTCTGTCACCCAGACTGGAGTGCAGTGGCCGCTCCCGGCCACCGCAGCCTCGACCTGCTGGGCTCCGGCGATCCTTCCGCTTCAGCCTTCCAAATAGCAGATGATCTTTATTAAGCTAGATTTTGCTGTATCTTATATTATAGTAATATTGATGGGCAAAAACTTTGCATGGGGACCAGTCTTAAACACCCTAGCCCTGGATCAAACCCCCTCCTTTGAAATTCTCGTGTACCTCACAAGCACTCCTGCCTAGTGATGTACACACTAATGATGATATAATAATATGCGATCACATTGTGAAAGAGGTCTGACGTGAGCTAAGCAAATAAAATAAAGAACTAATTAAGTTTTTAAGCATCCTTATAGACCACTTAATCTTCATCATTCATTCATTAAATGAATCAAGCATTTATTGTGCACCTACTATATGCCAGGCCACATGTTAGGCTCTGGAGGTAAAGAAATTTGATGTCTTGAAAAGCAGGTAGATTAATTTTCACTTGGGCAGAGGCTTATCTGCCTATTAAAGTCAGAGTTAATCTCTTTAAATAGATATCTAAACCTGAGGTCTACTAGTGGGGTGTTTAATAGTAAGTGCATCCCAGGGGGTGCATTACACAATCTAGTAAAATGTGGGCTGAAAATATTTGAATGATCATTTATGTATGTTTTAAGTTACTATTTTAATTTCTATTTTGGGGTATGCTTTATAAGATATATAGCATACTAATACAAAAGTTCTTGGGTATAATTTATAAGTAAACATACATTAGGAGTTCATACTCAAATATATGATCAATCGCTTTGTGGGGGAAAAATGGTTTAAGTGCTTTAAATCATTTAAGGAGTTATACTCAGATTGTACAAGGATAGTTTTTCAGGAAAACATATATACCTCATTTATGTAGAAGCATGACTTTAGCAATGCCCAAGCCCAAGGATCTAGAAATCAGGAAATAATATCAACCCACTAACCACCTCAAGTAACCTTCATGACCTTCAGAAAGTATCAACACAGAAGCCATTGACTTTCTGAAAACCTGCTTGTTCTTTTGTGAACATACACCTCTAAACAAACTTTATTTCCTATTGTTTTGGCTTACCGTATATTAGAAGAAGAAAATTTAGGGCACAGGGGCTTTGAGGCAAAAAAATTAGCTAAGGGAGCTATTAGGTCAGAAATACTGACAGCAGGAGAAATGACATCTGACAGACAAGGAAGATTCAGAAAAATAAACATGTCGTAACAACACCTTTGTGAATTCAACTGAGTGGAAATAGTCAATGTTCCTAATGAGGGTCTCAGTTCTGAAGGAAAAAGTCAGTTATGTGAGGGCTATATTCTGTTTTTGACCAGGTCAATATTTGTATGTTTTAGGAAAACTTTCTCCAAAAATGTTCAGATTAAAGATGTAGCTATTTGAAAGAGTAAATTTCACAGAATGACAATTATATCACTGCAAGGGAATTTAGCAGTCATGATTCCAGGCCAAACTGTTTTAATTGTATTATTCCACTTCCTAGTGCTGTGTTCTAAGAAGAGAGTTCAAGTGGACAGGTTTCTGGAATCCCATTCTTAAAGTAGAGCACTTTCTTCTTTTTCTCCATAATGCATTAGTCCTTTTCTTAAATATTCAGCTGAAAAATAAAAAATAAAAACTGGATCGTCCACTTGCCAAAAGTTCAAAAACCATCAGTCTTGCCCGACTCCTTCCTTTGACATATACAGAAATATAGAGGCATAACATCTATTCATTAGATTCATTAGATATTGTATGTTTACTATAGTCAATTCACATGCTGAACATTAGGTTTTCAAAAATAGAGGAAACCTGTTTTAGTATTCTGGAAGTTCACAGTCTTTAAAGCAAAAGCAGAAGATGGTGGCAGATTAGGAGAGGGACATTAGCATACATAGTTCCCCTAGTACAGAGAACAAAGGAAGTGCCACCTAACTGTGCTCAGGCGTAGGTGGGGGGAGTCAGGGGACGTTTCAGCAAAGAGATGTCATCAAGCTGAGTATTGCTGATGATGAGTAAAAGTTTGCCTGTCAAAGAGGTTAGGGAATTCCAGACAGAAGAA